GAGGGGCAGCAGGGAGCAGAGGGGCGGCAGGGAGTAGAGGGGTGGCAGGGAGCGGAGGGGCGGCAGGGAGTAGAGGGACAGCAGGGGGGCGGCAGGGAGCAGAGGGGCAGCAGGGAGCAGAGTGTTAAAGGTGGCAACCCCATGTTCACGGCAGACTCAGGGAAACGCAGGCGTGTAGGTAATACAAGAAGACTCCATTTTGGAAGAGCTGAATGTAATGAACTGCGAGGCCTCCCATGTGACATAAATTGGGGGGAAATCTTCCTGAATGGGAACACAGGAGAGATGGGGAGGTTTCAAGGACATTTTGGACAACAAAATTGAGCAGTGCATAGTAGGGAGGCTCCGATAGTAATATCAGTACTCATAGACTACAAACCTGGGGGTTCTCAGACCACACATTTGGGGGTTCTCAGACCACAGATTGGGGGGTTCTCAGAACACAGGTTTCGGTGGTCCTCATAGATCAAACACCTGGGGATCCTCAAAGATCACAGACCTAGGGGTCCTCAGATCACACATTTGGGGGTCCTCATAGATCACAGATTCGGGGGTCCTCATGGATCACAGATATGGGGTTCCTCATAGACCACAGACCTGGGGGTCCTCATAGATCACAGATTCGGGGGTCCTCATGAATCACAGATATGGGGTTCCTCATAGACCACAGATATGGGGGTCCTCATAGATCACAGATTTGGGGGTCCTCAAAGATCATAGATTGGGGGTCCTCATAGACCACAGACCTGGGGGTCCTCAAACATCATAGATTGGGGGTCCTCATAGACCACAGATATGGGGGTCTTCATAGATCACAGATTTGGGGGTCCTCAAAGATCATAGATTGGGGGTCCTCATAGACCACAGACCTGGGGGTCCTCATAGATCACAGATTGGGGGTCCTCATAGATCACAGATATGGGGTTCTTCATAGACCACAGATTTGGGGGTCCTCAAAGATCATAGATTGGGGATCCTCATAGATCACACATTGGGCAACAGTAGGCAATGCTAAGCAGCAGCCAGCAAAGCTAACAAGATCCTGGTCTGTATTAGAAGAGGGATCGGGGGAAGGGATCAGATAGTAAATACTTTTACTTTTGGTTTGGCCC